TGATTCCCACACTTTCGATGTGAAAAGATTTGCATTTCATCGAACCGATTCAATTCAACAGATCACGTGGCGAATTTCGCTTTGTAAAAACCACAGAACTGTAATTTATTAATGTATTTGAGTCACACCAAACCAGACAAGAACCTCACGCGTACTGCGGGTACAGATCCGACGACACCGCCTGACTCAGAATGTCCACCCCAACCCTTGGATACTACTATACTTGCGGTAAGGTAAGAGGCTGAAATAATTCCTTTCGGTGACTGATGCGCAGTACGAAGTATGACGTACATGTCTTTTCAAAATCTCCGCTAAGACATACTAAGATCACTGAGACCCATTCATAATTGAGCACGACTAGCAGGCGCGAGAATACGTAAAGACGACTATCTTCGAATACACAAGGTTAAAAAGAAATCACGAAAACATAATTTTGATTATATCTCATTAAATAGCATAGATGAACAGTACAAATATTTTATATTTAAATAGATTTTATGCTTTGATTCTTATTTTATAAATTATGCTTTAGTTTATTAGCTCTACATATTTTACAGGTGCAATTTAAATACAAATTGCATTAATAGCAAAATACGTTATGGTATTATAATATACAGTATATTTTAAAACTATGAGATGATATGACGTTTTTACTGTGATATTCGCAATCTACTTATGAAATTGAGTACGTTGCGCACTTTACTTCCAGGAGGTTAAAATCTCGTTCCCTAGTGAAATTGTGTAAACTTTTTAAATTGCCTGTGACGCAAAATTATTCCAAAAATACTCATATTTTTGGAAATTGGACGTGATCGTATTTGAAGATGTTTCTGGTGCACACTTTTCAATGAGAAAAAAAATCTTCATAATTGTAGTTGAAGGAAGGCGTCGAAAGACATGTACCAGTCTCTTAAGCGTCCTTTACGGTATCCGAGGTCAACATTTCATTTTAAAAAAATTGGTGCAGTTTTAAAAAAAATAATTACTTTATAAAAATTGCTTCTATTTCACGCAAAATTAGGCAAAAACAACTCAAATTGTCGAAAAATTGTACACGAATTTATATCAAAATCTGTCTTTAAAGAAAAGATTTCATTAAGGAAAATGTCTATCATTAATACTTTAGTTGCAGGATGACGCCGAAAAACATTCATCTTTTGCAATTCTCGAAAAAATCAAAGATTTTAAGTGACCTTAATGAAAGAACTAATTATGGACAACAATTTTTATTTGAAGGAAAAATATCTATCTTCAATTTTGTAATTGTAAGACGCCGATTTTTTTTATTTTTTTGGATATTCAGAGTTAGTGAAAATCAGATCTATGCCACCTCTATAAGTGTATTTTATTATATTCGCACAAGAAATTTAAAGAAAAAATTTGGAGCCGTTTTTGAAAATGACCCAAGGGCCTCATGTAAAGTAGCCCCAAATTTTAAAGAAAGTTTTTCAAAATCTCAAAGCTTCGACTCGAGCTAGAAGGATAGGGCTTTTTTAAATTTGGAAAAAATCCTACGCATGGTTTAGGCGCTAGTGGTGTTCACAGACGGAAAAGAACAACTTCTTCGGTATTAGGGGACCCCCAAAACTTGTATTTCCGTCGAAATCGATTTTCTGCAGAATTACATAACTTTCCCCATACTACGAATACGGGAAAGTAAAAAAGCAGTCAAATTGGGTAAATTTTCTGAACAAATATATTCATCTCTTTTGTAAATAATAAACAATGTACATGTTTTTTGAGTGTTTCTATGCTTCTGCAATGTAAATTTTTTTCTAGACCGCATTTTTTCAAACCAACGTTTGAGTGCTTATTGCATCTTAGCTATTCAGAATATCTAGGTAGTTAGTTAGACAAAAAATCTTTAAAATTGTCTTAAGAGCTTATTTGCAAACTTTCAACGTTTACTGCCCGGACATCCCGTGTAGTCAATTACTTCCTCTAACGTGTTGTGTGATCAGAATCCACGTTTTGTTGGTCCTTGTTACCGAAAAATCGATTGACGGTAAAACATCAGTCCGTCTGCCTCAACAACGCTAGCGGCTAAACCGTTCAGCCGATTTTCCCCAAAATTGATATTCCTCGATCGATTTGGCTGATGTCGTGACCCCTTCAATTCGAAACATATTTTAATTGAGGGTTTCTCTGCAAGAAGCTCCTAGGACTTCAAAAAAAAGTCCAAATTTCTTTCTTACATTTCGTTTGATAGCGTCAAGGACGCTTAAGAGCAGTACTTATTTTGCGTACTTGAAATTGTTGTCCATAATTAGTTCTTTCATTAAGGTCACTTAAAAAATACTTTTCGCGCAATATATGTGATTTTAAAAAATTAACAAAAACACACTTTTCTCAGAAACGGCTCCAAATTTTTTTCTTTGCACTTCTGATATGTATAGTGCTATATGTACTCTATGAGATGACATAAACGATAAATTTATCCATTCTTTAGTTTTTTTCAACTATTACAAAAATGTAATTTTTTTAAACTTGTCTGTCACATAGTTAATATTTATATTTGCAGTAATTTGTTCATAATATTGTATTTATGAGAACATTTGCTTTAAATAGAAAAAAATTTCTCCAAAACTCAAGTTGTCTGTGAAAACTAGCTTAAAATTCCGCATTATCAGAAATGCTCAAACGCAATTTTCTCTGAAACAGCTCCAAATTTTTCTTCAAACTTCTCAAAACGATAGTGCTAATTACACTCTTTAATATGATAAAGTTCATTTCAAGGGTTTTTTTTTTTTTTTTTTTTCAAAAATTACACAAAGGTAATATTTTTGAAAGATCTCTCACGGAGTTAATATGCACATTTCCAGGAATTTGTAAACACAGTTGTATTTGTAAGTTAATGTGCTTCAAACGTATTCGAATGAAGTTTTTCAAAATCTCAAAAAGTTTCTAAAAAAGAGCATCAATTTTTGAATTTACAGTAGCGCTTAAGCGCTATTATCGTAAAAATGGCTCCACGTTTTTCAAAGAAAATTGCCATTTAGGACGAGGTTTTACTGTTCTTTAATATTCTTAAAATAATATTTCTGTTTTACTATTAGGAAACTGAAAAATTAAGAGAATCTTTAAAAAATGTACTGTATATGGTAGCTGGCAAGAATATGTGGCAAGTTCGTATAGCTAGCCGAGACCAAAGGAAATAGAATTCATACTGGAATGTCTGTGCTATTCTGAAACATCACTAATTTATTTCTGGGTTAATATTTTTTTCTGAACAAATACATTAAATTCTTTTGTAAATAAAAAACAATTTACATGTTTTTTGAGTGTTTCTATGCTTCTGCTGAGCAAATGTTTGTCTAGAAAGTAGTTTTTACAGAAACTTGTGTTAATTGTGGCTAAGCCATTTGTATTATCCATACATAGTTTACACCATATTTAGTTTCGACGTTTCTCCCCAAGACATCCTGTACATAGGAACTACATTTATCCATATTTTCCTTACCAGGGCCCTGCAATAAGAGCTTTTCTGTCGAAAATTCGCTTCCCCCCTCCCCCGCAGCTTTTCAATACTTTCTCTATACTGAATAAGAAGTAACTGAATAGGAAAGTAAAAATTGGAGAGGTTTTGAGAAACTTTTTCTTTTAAAAATGCCTTTATTTCTTATTTCGGAAAAAAAAAAAAAAAAAAAACGTTCATGAGCTCATTTAAAGATCTAATTTTTAAGGACAGATTGTGTGTGCATGTGTGTATCTGTCCTTATGCACACTTTTTTGTCAGCTCTACTTTCATTTGATTTTAATTCAAATAAACAAATCATTAATTGGGAAATAAAATATAATTAGTAACTCATGCGGTCAACGAAAGTGTTTTGGTTTCTTTGTCGCATTCTCAGATTTATCTTATCATTTGAGCATCGTCTCACGTCTAGCACGCTGTGCATGCCCAAAAGTAACCGATGAAAATGGCCTTGAGGCTGCATGTAAAGTACTCCCAAAAATTAAAATATCCGTTTCAGATTCCAGGGCCTGTGAGGTCACAGATCAATTCGCAAATATCAACTTTGGTGAAAATTCTGCTTACGGTTTATCCATTAGCATTTAAACGGACGCACCGTACCATTTTACTGTCGCATACTACATACATATTAAGTATTATAAAATGAGCAAAAAACGCTGATTTTTCGACACAGAAGCTTGTATTCTGGGTCACAACAGCACGCACTTTCTTGTCAGTATAGTTAGATCTCCTGAAGCGCCATCTAGTGGAGTTACAACAAAATAAACAGCATAAAAACCTCCAGGGAAAAAACAATGTGCCAGCATTCACGAAGATTGGTCAGTGTCAAGAGTTTATCGATCTCGAACAAGCCTACATTTTTATGTACATAAATTAAAGTTTTTGTGTAATTTTATGTGAAACAGACAACTTTTAAACAATTTTTTCTGAAAAACCCGCTTAAATTTTTTCTTTATTTTGTTTCCTTGTATGGAGGAAAGAACAATCAAGAAAGTGGCGTCAGACGCATTTTCGTTCTCACTAAATTTTGGAAAATGCACAGGATTTAAAAAATTTACATTTGGCACCATTTTAAGATAAATGTATTTGTTAAGTGACTTTGTAAAGTTACCTCAAAATTAAAACATGTTTCAATTTTTTTGGGTGCCCTGTGTGGACAGATTCATGTGACAATATCCATATTGGAGAAATCATGGTAAACTATTTACATGTTTATATTAGTCGTGCAAACATATTTTCGAATTTCAGTGCCATGTACTCACGAAATGCATATTTCTGTCAAAATCGCAACAGAATTGTGGAAGAATTACATTACTTTCTCTTACTAAAAATACCAAAAGTTAAAATCTTCGTAATTATCAAGATCTTAATTCAAAAAGTAAAAAACCTAATTTATCATCAAACTCCTATCTAATATTTTTTTTGTCAAAAGAGAGCAAAATACATGAAAAAATAAGAACTTTAAAAAAAATTGGAATAATCATTCACAATTGACTCAACATAAATAAATACACAAAAGTATTTTTCTTCAAAAACAATATATATTTTTAAAAAAATATTATATGATATTATAATGAACAACTACAATATAATATTGTCTCTCTTCTTTATCTCTCTCTCTCTCTCTGCACATATATAGATCTGTGGTTTGGAGATACAGGTCATATTTACTCAAATTTACAGGAAAGCAGTTTGAAAATGTTTTACTATGGACTTGTTATTTAAAAGCACTGTAACTGTCAATTCTTGATGTAGGACAGTGTTGTATAGTTCTGGATAGAGGACCGAAACCTATATGATTGTGCCAAATCTCAATTCGGCCAAAAATTGACCTAGTGTCCTATACCTCCGACTCACAGATATATAGGTTCATAATACTACATTATGATAAAAGATATAAGTAACCATAAATTGCACATAGATAAATAATATCTGCACGTTACGAGATCTTATGTTTTTTTTAAATATATAATATCAATAGTGAAGTATTTTATTTCAATACGAAGGGCCTTATAAGTGGAATCTCTGTCTAAGAACCTTATTATTCAAAATTAAATAATTCAGATTATTATTAATCATATTAATCAAAACAATTTAGACCACGTTAATAACCATCGCCATTTGAATTCATCTCAGGGTCAAAATTTTATAAATAATACAAAAAAAAAAAAAATCCTCTCATAACAGAATTATATATAATTGTAATCAACGAAAATTACATTTAATATAATTATTTTACTGTATATCCTGATCAAGATATACAAAACATTGCAACGATTAACTTTAAAATAAATAATAATGCTTGTCAATTTATTTATTGAAATAAAATGTTTATGTAATGTTTGAGTAAGGAATTTGGCATATCTAGGTAAACTGACACACAAGGTATTTGTAAAATTTGCACCCATATCCAATTTGCCACCAATTTGAGAAAACAGAAAAAACATATTTTACTAAATTACAATTACTTTAAATTCTTACTAATGTTAAATTATCACAATTTTAATTTACAAGCAAATAGTATAACAAATGTCCATTACTTGAAATCGTATCCAATCCATTAGCAAATTTTGAATAAATAATTCACATTTCTATTATACTATGGATACAATAAAAAAAATTAGAAAATAAGCAAAGAAATAAGAGTTTCCTTGTACGATATCTGTTAATATTAGTTCCTGTTCATTTCAAAAGCATAAATAAAACCTGTGCGCAATGTAACAATAGAAAAACTTAGGTTGGAAACATTAAAAAAATCGAATTCAATCTGTTCTTCTGCATGCTTGGTTTATAAGAATTATCATTTCACTTTTTCCGCAAAAATGTAGAATTCTAAAAGTCCCCCCTCTTGTTGCTTCTATCCATGACATGTACCTTACACTAGTTATGCCATTGATCAACACTGATCTAATTAGATCTCTAAATCGACATACAGAAATAAGACAGCTTAACTGATTTGAAGAAACCAGCAAAATTTTTTGTTTCGTAATTTTTTTACTCTTAAGAAAATCAGGTCCTTGCAGTGTTCACAATTGGCAATTCTCCCAAAAGATAGAAAAATTTTTTTTTTTTAAATTAATAAATGATAGAAACATTCCACAAATCACACAAACAAAAACAATTTGTAGAAGAAAAAAATATGAAAAAGAAATCTGTGCAAAATAATATTACACAAATCTTATTCAGAACTATAACTTATTTAAAAACAAGCATCTACTTCTAATACATTTATATTGTATTTAGTGTCATTTATATTCTCATAATACTGAGTTGCAAGCTTGGATATACAAAGGTCACACAATACCTCCTCATTTGTTCATTGATATTTGAGACAATGAAACATGAGCAATGTTATTCCAGCACAATAATACTGAATTATCCACTTCACCAGGGCCCAGTCACATTTTAAGTTTTGAATTTTCTATTTTGTAGACTTTCATCATTGAAAAAGAATGTCGAAATAATGTTATTAATTACAAAACATTAGGTTAGTTCATGGAAGATACATTATAATAATAAAACTTTTAATAAAACATTTATAACAGGAATTCTATAAATTCCATTATTCTGTATATAAAATCAAACAAAATATTTTCGAAAGAAAGATCAAAATTAATTTTGAATTACAGACCAATCACCTTTGTTTATATTTTATCGTACAAGCATGTTCAGAGATCACCCATTGCCACAATAATATTTCTTAGGGCAGTCTGGGCATCACTCTCCTGAAAGACGGAAAGGACTTCCATTGCCTGCTGCGAATGTTCCTTCTGAAGATTCTTGGTAAGCTCAAAACCAGGACCATCCATGACAGTGCTGTGTATCTGAAAAGCAGTTAACACATCTATATTAAAAGAGGATATATTAGTACCCGAACAATTTTCTTTTTCATATACAAAATATCGTACTAAAAATATAGTCATTGTAACATTTCTGATGAAACAACAACAATACACATCAAACATTTACAAAAATAAACATCATAAAATTCTATTATGATCTGCAACATTTAATTTTTAAAACCAATAATAAGAACACTTAAATTCTTATCTAGTTACATTATTTTCTTTTAGTTATACCACATCAGTTAATTGAAACCATTCAAAATGTGTAAACCGTACAATTCCAAACAAACTTATGTGATTCATCACATACTTACATCAAAACATTTTCAAATCATATTACACACACATTCATCAAACCACTTTCACCAAAATTATGAATAAATTTCACCCAAAATATTTTTGCTTACTTTCTCATAATCAACATTTTCCACTGAATCAATTCCTTTCTCAATTTCCTCAAACAAAGAGTGATCATGTTGAAGGTGAAACAAAACAGGAGCAGAAGTCAGATTGAATGCTGAGCCAGGTGTGTACTGCGATGATGTACGGAAAGGCTCCAAATCCAAGCAGGCCTAAAAATTTAAAGGCAATTTGTTTCTTTATATCCATGAGAAGGAACTGAAAAATGCATAAAATCTCTTAAACTCAGAAAGGATAATATATTAATTGAATAAATGAAAGAAACGCAGGTGGCAAGATTATTAGCAGCTCCAACAACGTAAATTGATCACATTCGAACTTTTAGTTGGTTTGCAATGCAGGAAACAGATTTCAGTGAGGTTTTAAAATGCATTTGAACATGTTCAGTGGCATGGTTAAGAATGTTTTATATAATTTAAGGTCCTTTAGAGAACAGTTTAACAAGTTTCTTCTTCTGTATTTTTTTTAGTTGTTGACACACAGAATTATTATAAAATGCAATTTTAATTGCTGTAAATTTCACATGTCCATGTCAAATACTGAGAATGTCAAATATCTAAGAATCAGCTTTCAACTGAATTAAAATCAAAAGTAGTCTTTTGATTACATAAATTTAATTTTGTTAAAAATAAATTATATTGCTTGAAAATGTATTTACTTTCAAATAAAAAAATTTGTGTTGTTCCCATGTAAGCCACTTGTGTGGTTTTGCTAATGCATAAGGGTTAATAAAAACAAAGAATGAACTATAATTTCTGGCAATGTTGACATTTAATTAATGATAAGAATAGTAAAATTTCATATTATATCCTTTTCAAACATATCACTTCATCATTCAAGAGATACTTTTAAATGTCTTTGCACGTCATGTGTCAGGAGTATAAATTCAGTTTTTAAAATTTTACCTGCCAAGCAAGCGCAAGATGTTTTCCAAACAGGTAACCCTTTTCCTGGAGCTCTCTCGAATGTCCTGCTAACTTGAGAGTCCCTTGGCAAGATTTGCCCAATAAACTCCCAGCAGAGAGCACATTACGCCGTGTCCAATCCGCCTTGGCATCTTTCACTTCATCTGGAGAAGGTAAAGGGTTGTTTTGTTGGTCCCTTCGACCCAAAAACTCTCCTTCTGACAGGTCACGAACAGCACTGCTCATCAATTCCACTAACTGCAGTCAGAGAGGTAAAGTAGTATGTACATTTTTGTTTCATTAGACACAATTATTTCCAAAAATAAGTCTATAATCAGAACTTACATCTTGATTTTGTAAGGACGCTAATTCCACACATGAATTTGCCAGCAAGTAATCTCCACTCAAAAGTGCAATTTTATTGCCAAATGTTAAGTCATTCAATTCTACTTGCTCAGCATACATTCCTGGATATATATTAACAAGTCCTTTATGAACTAAATGACTTGTTCTAATCATTTCAGTCACTTCAGCAAGAGCACGCTGGCTGTACCAAATAGAAATACAAGTAAAATATTCATGTTGAGCACACGTTAGACCTTCAATCAATTTATTTTGCACAAAAAGAATTGTTTGCTAGGTCTCAAGAAACTTGTACCTGTGTAAAACACCTGCAGCTTTGTCTTCTTCCATCTCTTGAACATTGTTGTGTCCTGCAGCTTTTGAAATGAGAAGGACAATGAGACCCCATGCTTGCATATTGTTTCGACCATTATAGAGTAAGCTCCTAAACAAATGACATGAATAGTTTATGAGGCTCTCAAATGCATCAGTTTATGTACAACCAATATGGTAATGTGTCAACACAGTTAAATCTCTCTTCTCCTTTTTTCTCACACTTATAAAGTAAGAACTTAATATTTATATCTTATCATGTTCCATAGCAACTGTCAAATTGCAGTAATACTGGAAATGCTTAATATATTGATGCAAAACATTTTATATAGCAGATATTATACAGTGTAAAACGGTCACTAACCAATAAGGTAAATAATTAACATTACATAATTACTTTAAAAAGTAATTTATCTTTGTTCAAGTATCATTATTAAATTATTATTCAAAGACTGACATAAAAGGGATAATATATATTTTTAATTTACTTATTAGTCTCAAATTTCTCAAATACTTACTTGGCAGTCTTTAACAACGGATGATTAGATCCTACTAATTTGCGCAAATGAAGAGCAACATTTGCAATTTCATCGCTCAATAACCATCTCAAACTTAAAAATGATGTTGGATATCCAACAATTTTCTCGGCTTCGGATACCGCCTTGTTCCAATCAGGCTTTTGATTGTGGGCAAGTTTAGTACTATAATAACGTTTTTCCGTAACAGCATAATCCCCATTCTTTCTGCGTTGAAATGTATAAGATCCTATTGCTGGGCATCCTTCTCGAGAAGATAAAACACTGAATTGACGCACAAAAACGACACCTGCAGTTCTCCAACGAAACATTTCAATAAACTACTACACAAACTGAAAGAAAGAATCGAAACTTCATTCCCTTCTCTGACGACTGCGAGAGCTCGGAGAAATTCCTGGCAGCGAAGAAAGCGACAGACGAACCTTACTTTAAAACGGTGTCATAACCTGCTTGTTCAGGTGAAAGTTTCAGGACGTCGTGACATTGACAATCAACGAAGAATTACAGAATTAAATCGAAATACGGAATTCTCAGATGTAGATGTTCAATTATTTATTTGATCGAAAGTCGTTTGCATTTACATTTTTTTTTAATTACGCTAAAACGCATTGCTAGGTATGTTCATGGACACTTTCACGAACACAACCAACACCCGCCCCCGCGAGCTTTGCAGCTTGGCGCAGAGAGCTTGGCGCATGGCATGCCGCAAGCTGCGCGCTATACTCTCTGGCTGAGTGTCATTGCGCATGCTTCATGTTGCAAGCGGGTTGCAAGATCCTTGCATCATGGGCACATCATATACATTAGGTCTTGTTTCAACGTCTTTAATAATCATAATGCTTTGTTAGTATATCGTGTTAAGAGACTTCTTCGCTTCAACTCCGATTTAAATAAATGATTTCTGACTTATCAAAAGATCTCACGCGGTTATCAAATGGGAACTTCAGTTTCAAAAATTTAAGCTGTATTAAAAACCTTTCGATTGGATAAATTGGTCCACCTAAAATTTGTCAGAAGTCACTTACTTTAAATCGAACGATAAGGTGCTTCATTGTGAAAAAGGTCTTCCAAGACTTCATGCATTGCAAAAAGACTCTATAAACTCAATATGTATAAATAATATCAATTGTCGATTCCCGAGTTTGTTATGTTTTTTTACAATAGCCAACCCCGAGATTACAAGGGGTTAAAATAATGATAACAAAATATTTCCTTAATGTGTTTTTTTTATCCCAAATCACCAGCACCAAATTATTGTGGGATGGGGAAAACTAGTCAGCAAATATGTCATAGATTAACAGGGCGTGAGCCCCCACAGAAAATACTGAAAATATCAAACATTTCGAAATATTCTGAATTCCTTGAAACTCGTAAGGCATGCCAATTAATTTCGAATAAATATATTGAGAATGTAAATAAATATTACACACATGTTACCCGGTGCATTTAATGAATTCAGGTATTAAAAACAAATTCATAACATTTCCAATATTGAACAAAAGTCCACACAAACAGATATTTTATTTTTCACACGTTCAACACTGGGATTTTCTTCACGAGTCTACATGAACATGAAATGAAATAATGACTAATATAAAATGAAAGCCGGAGTTGTGAGCTGAATTGCTTAACTGCGCTTCGAGAAGTCACGGACGTTAAGCAACTCGACACATCACGGATTCTTGGACGGATGACCGTCTGGGAATCTCGGTTACTCGCAGAATTATGTTACCAACGGGTTACTTCTATAGGTTATAAACTAACTTACTAACTCCAAACTACTAACGGTGCCGAGACCATGGATGAAGGGATAAAAGACATTGGCTATGACGTGACGACGGGAAAATAATTCAAAATTTGGTGTAGACGCTCAATATCCAAGAGCTAAGAGGCGCGAAAACAATACAATTAAAAAAAAATTCCAACAAGAATACTCCCATTTGTAGTATATCTAATGTACAAATAACTATAATACACATTATTCAGGAATATCATATATACGACCAATCCAGCCCATCGAACTTAGAGAAATTTAATATTGACGTTTTACTTCATTAGAGAATCCTACAATAACAAAAATTGACATCTGTGAATCAATTGATGTCTCTAAAGAACTGTAATATTGTTTTTTAGTATATGCACTGTGTATATAATTAGAACATGTAACAAATTTTCAATCACCTTGTAGTAAACTTACAGAAAAGTCGCAAATAACCTCGCAGGTGATGAGATTGTAAATAAATTAAAAAATAATAATATATGGGTAAACTACTTTTTAATAAATACTATTTTATAAATTTATAAAATATGTTATATTTAATAGACAAAAATACTATAGAAGTTCTTGAATCTGTTTGTTCCAATGATAACTAATGCACACTGCAAACGGATACGTGATTGAGCCTCTGCTTCGTCCCTGGCGAACGCAAATAATTCTGCAATCATCGCAGAACACTAAAACTGCGTTCAACGTCATAACGTGAAGCAGGGCACTCACGAATTATGTTTGTAAAAATTGCAAATTCGAATTTCCCGCACTTCGTTTGAAGCGCTGTCGGCCATTTTCAATTCTAAGAATTCTACTCATTGTTGGCGGTCGTGATTGTCGAATAATGCAGATAACGTTCTTATGAAGGGAAACATATTTAACGAAGTAGATTTAACATAGAAATCGACTGCCAACAAATACACATCTTTTACTTTTAAAAGTTTTTATCGCTAATTATGGTATTAAAAAATTGGGACTTCACTTCGAAGGCAAGCTTGTGTAAAATTATTCTTGCTTTCTGTATAATGTGCTACAAATACTATAACAGTTAAATTTAATAATGTTTGTTTCATTTGTATAAGTAAGAAATGTTTTCTGTTCCTGTCTACCGAAATAAATGCAAATATCCACCACATACTCTTCGTTTGAATGTGAATTTCACGTTATAGCTAGTATATATTAGAGCAGAAAATGGAGTATTACAATATTACGTAACCGTTTCCAATAATGCGAGAAAGTATGCACTGTTGAAGCGCCACTAGTTAGAGTTTGCATATGACCCTATAGTACGTTAATTTTTCACCAAATCCTATATACTGGTTTTTGATGGTAAGGAAACGCCAGGAAACTTGTTCGCAAAAATGGCCCGGATTTCCTTAAATGAACCGATTAACAAATAAGCCTGTTCTTTTGCGATTCTCCGTTGAAAATACATCTCTCCAAGCGCTTCATACGTCTCAACAAAATCTCCATAGCGTTTGTACTGACAATGTATTCATGCAACAGCTCTGCCTCAATATGTGACCATAAGCGGACCACACTGACAATGAGAAACTTTGCACTAAGGCTAAATGCACCTAAAAATACTTGTTGGAAAATTCAATTGATCGCAGCACTATCACAGGGAATTTACTTTACTGATAACGTCTGAACCAATGGTCCGATTTTCGATTTGTAAACGGCATTTGACATTTGACGCCTTTTTAACATACCAATTCTACGCTCGATGGTCTTTTTCCAAAATGTAGCAAAAACGCGAATTTAAAATTAGTTCTCAAACTTTCGAGAACAAATTTTAAAATGTGGGTTTTAAGCGGGCGATGGCGACATGCTTCCTGAATCCCAACGCCGTGAGCAATTATCAAATCGGCGAATAGGAAGCGGCGTAAAGTGAATTTACGCAAACACCTCGCCCCCCCCCCCTCTTCCTCTTCTGGCGCCGTTGCGCCACCCAGCCCCACCCGTTGTGGGCCCTCTGTCAGCGCGGTGGCACGACGCAGGCCCCGGCGTCGTGCGGCAGCCCGAGGAAGGAGGCGGTACTTGAGGGACACGCAAGCACCACTCGTTTTGCGTTCATCACTTTGGCATCTCAATCTATTTTTCCACGATATCAAACTAGAGTTCTATACTACTGATTACAGACGCGAGGTAAAGGTCTGTAATAGTAAGTACATACTATCTTTTCAACCATCGTTTCCGTCTTCCTTCGAATACAATTTTTAAAATTTTTTTTGTGTATTACTACAAAATATTGATTCCGATTTTTAAGCTATTTTTTCAAAAAAGGAACTAATTGTGTAACATATCAGCATTATTCCAATCTCGCTCACATCTTATTTTAGATATATTTTAAAACTTCTAAGGTCTTCTGTTATCACTCCACTTTGGGTCTAAGACCATCTTCCGTTGCAAATCACCGTAAAAAATGAAGCCGGAGTATATCGCACGAGTTCTTTATCCTACAACTCGAGTTTGATCTCAAAACGTTTATTGTTTAATAGGAGTTCAGCTGTGAATTCTTTTCCATGTAAAAATAAGCC